CTTTTTTCCTTGTCCACTTTTCAGAGGTTTTTGATTTTATTTTTACTTTTACATTTTTTTTCTTTTCAACAATTAATCCTTTGCTTCTATGTTTTTGACAAGGAAAAAATCTGAATGTACAACAATAGGGGATTTGTTGAGATATGTTAATTTTCTAACAATAGGGGATTAGATGGAAAAAAACAATATTTAGAGCATATAAAGAGTTGAAAAACTGCCCTGTGGTGTAACAAAATTACCAAGACCAGAAAAAGCAATAACTGACAGTAGACATTTTCAGCAAAACTGCTTTTTAATCAGATGATTATGTTGACCAATTTGCTTTTGGCCACATTGTCTAGACCTTTAGACCTATAATTTCACTGTGAAAGCAAAAATTAGAAGTGTAGTCAAAGATTTATGTGCAAAGATACTTGTCAAATTTAGCAATGACTCAGAAAAAAAAACCCATAAAACAAAACATCCAACAATAGTGGAGTGGTCCAACATGAGGGTGAGTGTCTAGGAACAAGTAGAAGCACTGTTTTTTTATCTTATAGGATACTGGGGACCGGCACTCGTTAGTACAGTTACTTAGAGTGATTTGCTTAAGCAATATAGTATAGTAAGATTGAGAATTTGAGTGCATTTCCCAAAAAATCACTAAATCATAAAGTGTTTTTAAAATAGTTCCCCCAAAGCAATGTAGAAGCATTTATTACGGCTCTGACACATGACACAAAATTGCTGCCACTTGCTTTTAAGGGAGGTCAGCCTGGTAGTAAAAGCAGCAGCACTCAGGAATCAATGGGCAAAAGGAGCAGTGGCAAAATTCAAGATTATTTCCTTTGCCACACTCATACATAGCAACATAGCACGCGCTATTCTTTTTCGTGGGAAGATGTTTTTAAGCCATATGGCTTCCATGTGGAAGTAATTTCATCTCTTAATTAAGATCACATTTATGAATAAAAGCAGAGGAAGGAAGCCAGCTTGACAAGGGTATCATACCAAAAGCCAGGGTAAGTGGGAAGTCTTTGTTTTGTGGTCATTATTGGAGTAGTGTGTGAGACTCATTAAGGACTTGGTTCTGACATATTTATAGAGAAAGAGACACAAGGTTTTCCTGGATTTGGTAGCACCCCTGTTGTTGCAAGTTAGCCAAAATTTACCCTTAACTCTTATGAAGAGTTACATTACTTACCTTCTAGAAGCTTTCCCTGCATGATATATGAACCATACAATTTTAAGCCATTAGGCTTTTCGAATATAGGCTAAAACCTATAAGGAAGGTTTCCTAAATACTTTCAATAGAGAATTATGAAATGGGAAGAAGAAAGACGAAGAGATTTTAGTACCTGCAGGCATTATTAATCAGAACCAAAACAGAGAAAAGAAAAAAAAAAAACTATTGCATTAGTTCTGTCCATGCTGAAACAGATTTATAGAGGAATGTTTTCTTTTAGTTTGTCATGGACCAATTTATTTTAATCCTATGGAAATAGGTACATTGATAACCAAGTTTTAATCAGAAAAGAATGATTTAATTAAATATTCATTCCATTTTGAGGCTGTATTAATAGTTTAATACTATACATAAAAATAAACAAAACAGAAGGAAAGAATGTGGCTAATGGTGATATTTCTTTACTATTCAAAATCAGCAGTGTGTGTAATACAAAAGCTAAATCCAGGTTTGCTCGAAGCATATTCAAAGCTGGCACTATCATCTTTGAGTTAAATAAACACAATTTACACTTGCTATTTCAACAGAGTTACCGTGGAAGATCAAAATTAAAAAACGAAACCTACCTGCTTTTCAAAAGTTTGTGTGTGTATGTGTACATACAGACACCTACATACACACTCATGGGAACAGCTTCCAAATGGAGTTTTATCTCATTATATATTAATTAAAATAGAATAATGTACATTGCGTTTTGGGGGACTTGGGGTAGTTGATTATTCAAGAAGTATTACATTGAAACCCTCAATGATCCAATTGTCAATATGAAAAAATACTAGAATTGGAATTATAGTTTAGGTTATAGATATTGTGAAAAACGCCTCCCAAATGAATTAAAATTTTTCTCTTAGCCTTTTTTACACTGTAAGACAATAGGGTATATTTGTGGCTTTATAAAGTCTCTCATTTGTTTCTGTTTAAAAATTTTTTCAATGAATAGATAAATGAATATAGAACACTGTGCGTTTGCGTGTGTGTACACATGTGCATGTATGTGTGTGTCCGTGTAGCTGTAGTCTTAGAGAGGTAGATTACTATTTGGGGGACAGTATGGATCAGGTTGAGAAGCTAGAGGCAGGGAAGAAAGAAGCAAAAGGGCCAGGCAGGAGGGCAGATTTATGACTCAGGTTGAGGGCAAGAAGGGAGCGAGTTTACCAGAGGCCCCCAACTAACTCCCCACAACACTAGCTGCCTTCCCTCACCCCAGCCACGTTCTCGCTCCTCTACAGCTCTAGTCTGAGAAATCAGAAAGAAATTAAAAAATTAAAGTGTGGAGGAAAACATTAGCCTCCTGACTCAAAATTTCAGAACTAGAAATAGACTTAAACATCAGTCAGTCCCCCTACAAGGTTTTGAGATGAGTGAACCAAACCCAGAAGAAAATAAGTGCTTTACTAGTCAGTGGGAAAAGCAATACTAGCATCAAAGACTCCTGGTTTTCAGTTAAAGATTATTTTTAGGACCAGATTCTAGGAGAATACTAATAAAAATTGAACCAAGAACGTCTTGTGATTAATCTCTTCACTGTAGGAAGGGATACTGCATCTGCCACCATGGCAGAGGTTGAGAAAGATGCTTAAACCAAACAGGGATCCTTTGTCTGAGAGCAAAATGTTGCCCAAGCAGAGGAGTCAGTCACCCTTGATCTTTCCAGAGGTAATTTTAGAAGTCTTCGTCAGACAAAACCAATCCCCTTCCAGATGGTGCCTTACACACCTAATGATCCTAGACAACCAGATCCTATGTCCCTTGTGTGCTGCCCTTCTTTTATGTATGTTTCAAGTTCTTCAGATTGATTGTGAATCTTTGGCCTTAGGTTGCCCTTGATGTCACAGGTCTTTCTGGTTTCATTTATGTATGCACAGGGGAATTTGCTTTTGCAGGCTTTGAAGCTATATTAATGCCGCTTGACCTTCTCAGCCATGCAAAACTATCTTCCAGACCATTTTAAACACCAAAGCTTCAATAGCAGACATTCACAGGAAAGGCAAAAATCTTTGGATGGTCAACATTATTTACAATTCTCTATTCCAAAATTTAATGTATATACGCTTTGACCATACCAAATTCACCTGTCCTGAAGAGAGGTATTACTTCTCTTACATGTAGGTAAGGATGTTGATGAGCACCATATGTATACTGTCAATAAATATATTATTATACATGGAATTTTCTATTATGAAACATCATTCAATAAATATTTATTAAACACCTACTGTGTGACAGACACAGTTGGTTAGCCCTGGGGATTCAGTGGTGAAAAAGGCAGAAAAGTTCATGTCCTCATGGAACTTACATAATTATTCTCTGCAAAATTACACCAGAGCCCAGAATTATTTACTATCCTTGATAAAGGCGTAATTTTTGTCTACTTACAAATGCTTGTTGTTAATGAATGTAAGCTTTTTATTAAAGTATAACATAAACACAGAAAAGCAAACAAATCAAGTGTACAGCTCAGAGAATTTTCACCAAGTGAACACACCCATGAAACCAGCAGCCAGGTCAAGAAACAGAACATTATCAGCTCCCAGAAGCACTCTTATTAACTTTTTCTAGTGGTTAACCTTCCCAGGGTAACTGCTTTTCTGACTTTTGACACCATAGATTAGTCTGGCCTTGCTTGAACTTTATAGAAATGGAATTATATGGTATATGATCTGTGTCTGCCTTCATTTGCTCAATATTTGGCTTGTAAGATTCATCTAAGTTGTAGCATGTAGTTGGGTTTATTCATTCTCCCTGCTGCATTCCACTGTATATTTTAATTTGTTTATCCATTCTATTGTTAAAGACATTTGGGCTATTTCTAGTTTGGGCTAGAAATCAACAGTTCATGATTAAGATTCTTGTACATGTCTTTAGGTGAACATTTCTGTTGGGTATACATCTACGAGTTGAAATATTGATTGGGTCATAGGTTATGCATATATTCATCCATACTACATACTGCCAAAAAGTTCTCCAAAGTGTTTGTACCAAGTTATAGTCCCACCAGCAGCATATGAAAATTCCAGTTACTCCACATCCTTACCAGCCTTAGTGTTATGTGCTTTTTCATTTTCATGTGTATTTTTAAGCTAAAAAAAGTAGAATAGAACCACTGGGGCCTCGTGATAAACAATGAGACATCATAAAGTTCATAGCAACAGTGCTAATCCCTTGGATTCTAGTCTGTGCCAATGATTCAAGATGGTATTATATTGAATTACAAACTCTGCTTAACTTATGATGGAATCAAAGCCACTGTTTACAATGGAAAATCCTGCAAAAGTTTGCCTTTCTTATATTTTGGCGCTGCGGCTTTTTCAAGTCAGCAGTGGTGGACCACCTTTTTTTGCCAGAGGGCCAAGTAAGAAAAACTAAAAATATGTAGAGGCCACTTTTTTGAATTTCAAAATGGAAATGGCTTTCTTGAGTCCTGGGGAAGAAATAAATATTTGGATGTGAGACGACCTATCATATCAAATGGAAGACTGGAAGTGAGAAAGTTGGAGCAACTATTGGCCAGTAAATTGCTGACATCAGACTATATTTGAGAAACGCCTGTAGGGATACGGTTGTCATCCTGAAATTAGCTTGTCAATCATATTGCAAAGCTAGGAGGGCAACCATGACCCTTAAGAGGAGCTGAAGCAGCCCTGCCTGGCTTTAACAATACTTCGCTAGGTGGAGCTGTGAATATAATGGCCCAGGCCTCTTACAAAGGGCCCAGCTCAAGTAAAGAAGACCCTTATTCTTAGAAAAACATTGACGGCTTTTTTTTTCTTTTCAGTCCAAGGTTTACACTCGCACACCAACCTTATATTTGGACTTCAAATTGGACCCTGGAGCAAAACATTCCCAGCCTATTCCTAAAGGTATGATGGATTCTGGGGTTTAGTAATCATGTCAGAAAAACAAACAAACAAACAACAACAACAAAAAACAAAACAAGGAGCTGCTTTCTCTAGAATGTTCTTGTTTCTGAAACTCAGCATAAAGTTCTATGAACTTCGTTTATGTTTAATTATGTTTAAATTAATGAATACTGCTGGGGCCTTTCAAGTTAAGAAAATCAGAAGGAATTCACAGAATGTTAAGGTTGGCCCCTCTGAGCCACATCCCTCAATTTACAGGTGTGGACACTAAGGCCCAACAGATTGGTCACTTCCTTAAGGCCACATAAAGACTTATTGGCCCAGATAGGGCGAGTAAAATACACCTGTCTCCTGCCTTTCCAGCCCCTGTTGACTCACAGTATTCCTGGAGGCAAATTCAGACCTGTGTTACTCAAAAACAAGTGCATACTTGATTGAGATACAGGTTCTGCTTGATATAGGTATTGTCATGGGAAGTGTTACCTTTAGGTTGATGTTTGAACTTACTTAAAGAATAATTAGAAAATTCCCAAGTATTTAAGGTCAATTTTATTTTAAAAAATGGCTATACCCAAGGTCATTAGGCATCAACTTTGAACCCATTATTTTGTTCTTTGTTTTTTTATTCTGGCTATTTTAAAAAATAATTTTATTTAAAAGTTTTTAAAAATTAATTTTATTTTTTATTGATGTAAGATGTACATATTTTGGGGGCACATGTGATAATTTAATGCAGTCATATAATTTGTAAAGATCAAATCAGTGTGGTGTGAATGATTTTTTAAATGTGTTATTGAATTCAGTTTGCTTGTATTTTGTTGAGGATTTTTGCATGTACGTTCATCAATAATATTGGCCTGTAGTATTCTTTTTTTGTTGTGTCATTGTCTGGTTTTGGTATCAGGGTAATGTTAGCCTCATTGAATGAGTTTGAAAGTATTCCCTCATTTGAAGTTTTCTGAACAATTTGAGTTGAATTGGTATTAGTTCTTTATTTTTTTTTAATTCAGAATATTATGGGGGTACAAATATTTTGGTTACATGAAATGCATTTGCCTCGCCCAAGCCAGGGCTACAAGTGTATCCTTCCCCCATACAGTGTGCACCGTTTCCATTAGCTGTGTATTTACTCCCTCAGCCCCCCACACCTGACCAGCACCCAGTGAGTATTACTACCGTGTGAGCACCTTAGTGTTGATCAGTTAGTACCAATTTGATGGCGAGTACATGTGGTGCTTGTTTTTTCATTCTTGTGATACCTCACTTCAGAGAATGGGCTCGATCTCTATCCAGGATAATATTAAGAGGTGCTAGTTCACCATTGTTTTTTGTAGTTGAGTAGTATTCCATGGTATACATATACCACATTTTATTAATCCACTCAGGGATTGACAGGCACTTGGGTTGTTTCCACATCTTTGCAATTGTGAATTGTGCTGCTATAAACATTCAAGTGCAGATGTCTTTATTATAGAATGCCTTTTTTTCCTTTGGATAGATGCCTAGTAGTGGGATTGCTGGATCAAATGGTATTTCTATTTTTATCTCTTTGAGGTATCTCCATTTTACTTTCCACAGAGTCTTGTACTAATTTGCAGTCCCACCAGCAGTGTAAGAGTGTTCTAATCTCTCCACATCCACGCCAGCATTTGTTATTTTGGGACTTTTTGATAGAGGCCATTCTCGCTGGAGTTAGGTGATATGTCATTGTAGTTTCGATTTGCATTTCCCCGATGATTAGAGATACTGAGCAGAATTCAGCAGTGAATCCGTCATGTCCTAGGCTTTTCTTTGTTGGGAGACCTTTTATTATGGCTTTAACCTCATCACTTGTTATTGGTTTGTTGAGGTTTTCTGTTTCTTCATGGTTCGATCTTGGTAGGTTGTATGTGTCCAGAAATTTATTCATTCTTCTAGGTTTTCCAATTTGTTGTCATATAGTTGTTCATAATAGTCTCTAATGATTTTTTGTATTTCTGTGGTCTCAGTTATGTCTTCTTTTTTATTTCTGATTTTGTTTATTTGGGTCTTTCTTTTTTTATTAGGCTAGGTAAAGGTTTTTCAATTTTGTTTACCTTTTCAAAAAACCAACTTTTCATTTTGTTGATCTTCTGTATTGATTTTTAGTTTCAATTTCATTTATTTCTCCTCTGATCTTCATAATTTCTGTCCTTTTACTAATTTTGGGTTTCATTCTGGCTGTTTCTAAGTACAGAAAAAGTTTTAGATTCATTTGCTTAAACATATGCCTACACTATGCATCATTTTTAGAACAATACGTGTGAGTGTGCATGTGCTTTAACTTTTTAGTGCAGTGCTTTTTTCTTTTGCTCTTGAGTTTGCTTCCCTCCAATCCCTTTTCCTCTTATATATCCCGGGTCTAGACTATATCTCACATCGATTCTTGAATTATATCTTGCTATATTTTTCTCCACACTTATTTTTATATATTGACATATATGTATATTCAAATATACACACATATAAGGTTATTTTGTCATTGTTTTACTGAAAAGGAATCATTATAAATACTTTTTGCCTCTTGTTTATTGGACCGAACAATACTTCATGGAAATCCTTCCCAATTTACTCGTATGGCTCTTTTTAACAGTGACATTCTACATCATGGGCTTACTATTATGTATTTAGGTATTTCCTGTTTGTTTTCAAAAACATTTTTGGAGGAATGCAAAAGCAAGTAGCTTAGAAATGCATGTTTAGCATTGAGTCTCTTTAAATCCACTTTGAACAAGTCTGTTATGAACCCAGCTATGAAGCAAAAGAACCTGTCTTTTCTAAGACATCATTTCCAGTTATAGTGTGTTCTGTCTTCCTCAGTCTTTCTCTCCCTCCTGCCCCCTCCCTCCTTTTTCTCTCTCTCTTTCTCACACACACACAAACACACACACACTCGCACTCACACTCATCCATACTTCATTGCATTCGGTGACAAATGCAAAGTTTGAGACTTCCTTGTCTAGTGCCAAACAAACAATTAATTCAAGTATTACAAAGCACTTATTATTTGCAGATCTGATAGTCCTGGCTACCTGTAATCAGACATACCGGATGATAAAATTATGCTGTGTAAATTTTATTATGAAGTCATTGAAATCAAGGTCACCCTTTGTGTTTTTCTTAATCACCTTTCCAGGTCAAACTCCATCATAAACTCCAAGGACTGTCTAAATTCATTTTATTTGGGTGCTTTGTTGCATCAAACATTCCATGAAATGGTGAGCCATTGGCTGGGTGCTGGACATGTTTTGTTTATAATATTTTGATTGTTTTGTTACTCATGGTAAAGGGATTTGACATGGATGTCTGGGTTATGTTTGGCTTTTGGCATATGCTTTGCAGTCTAACTAATTTAATGTTGACTTGCTTGTATCATTACCAGACTAATTGGATAGAAAGGGAAGCATACACTGCTACCATTCCATCCCTGATACTGGGAAAATGCATATGTCCCAAAGCAAATTCAATTAAGGGAGACTAGAAACATTTTTCATGAATCAGACTAGGTTTTATCTGAATTCCTTCCCATAAATAGTATTAGAATCGATTTTTACCATCTCTTTATTTCCTTTGGGCTAAGCACGTTTCTACTGGGTTGAGCTAATCTCGCAGAAAACAGATGTTTCATGCAGTGATGATTTGGAAGGCAGTTGATATCAGGAATTGAGCTGGACGGTGCATCACTTAAAAAGAATCCAATTTGTTGAGTCTCTGACAGTACCAGATTCCTTTCACATTGGCCACACGTTTTTCATATTAGCTCTTGGCTAAAATAAGAATAAGTAGGTTTTTTTTTTTTTTTTTTTTTTTTTTTGCGGTGACTTTTACCATCTCTTACAAGGCAATCTGATTTTCCTTGCTGTAAACTGATTTACAGATAACACTGTTTGTTATCATTCATTGTGAAGGACATAAATTTGTATTTCTAGGAAAATGTCAATCTTTTCCAAGAAATCTATGCCTTCTGGTCGTTACGTTCCCCTTGTCTTCTGACTGATGGTATCACAGTTTGGTTCTCAACAGCCACTTTGTTTATTTTCCCCATCCTCCTTTACTGCACCTCTGCTTCTAGATACTTAAAAGCATGTTCTTGAATGTTGAAAATGGAGAAATGTTATAATATGGGAAAAACTTGATTTCGTGAGCTTTTTTGCTTTCCTCACCTCATAACTTTTCTTTAAGTATGTATAGATCAGTAAACATAATTTCTTTAGAGAACATGTAGTCTACCCCTCTGTGGTAGGCAGAATAATAGTCCTCAAAGATGTCCATGCAATAATGCCCAGAACCTGTGAATATGTTATATGATATGGCAAAAGGGACTTTGCAAATGTGACTAAAGGAAGACTCCTGAGATGGGGAGATTAGCACGGATAATTCAAGTGGCCCCAATGTCATCACAAGAGTCTGTATAAGTGAAAGAAGGAGACAGGGGAGTCAGAGTGTGACGATAGAAGCAGAGGTCAGAGCAATGTGATTGCTGATTTTGAAAATGGAAGGGACCACAAGCCAAGGACTTGGGGTAGCCTCTAGAAGCTGAAAAAGGCAAGGAAAGACATTCTCTCCTAGAGCCTCCAGAAGGAACACAGTCCTGCTGACACCTTGATTTTAGACCCATGAGGCCCATTTTTGGGCTTCTGACCTCCAAAACTACAAGATTGTAGATTTTTATTGTTTTAAGGCACTAAGTTTTGGGATCATTTGTTACAGCAACAATAGAAAACTGATACACCCTCTTAAATATTGCCCGTAATATTTTTGCTTCTGTGTTTACTTTCAAAGGAAAAAAAGGAAAGCAGCTGTATCTTCCTCAATTAAAAAGTAGATTTTAATGCCACTCATACAGTCATTACTTAGTGAGTCACATTAGTGTATATTTAAATAAGTCTTATAGTATTGATTTTCTATATGCTACATAACGTATTACCCAAAAAACTAATGCCTTAAAACAACATGTATTATCTCACAGTGTCTCACAACTT